CTATCTATCTATTATCTATGAATTTGTTTCTCTAGCCAACCCACACTGTGTTTCAGAAATAGGCCCAGGAGGTAAAAAAAATAAAAAAATAAAAATAAATAAATAAATAAAGTTTTAAAAAAAAGAAATAGGCCCAGGAGGTCTGACTTAGTGAAAGCCACCATGAACGATGACCAGTTAGTTTTTGTCATCGAGTCCATGTGTCATCGAGTCCATGTGTCAGACTTGACCTGCACGGGACGAGTTTCCAACAGTAATGATCTCTTAGAAATAGATAACCAGGCCTTTCTTCGGAGGCCCTTCCGAGTGGCTTCAAACCACCAGCCTTTGGATGAATAGCGGAGCACTTCATAACGTGAGCCACCCAGGGACCTTGAGGAGAGACCACCGCCTGTAATGGTCCTACAATCATGATCACACTCAATGTAGCCTGGCCTGTGCATCCTTTCTCACACTACAGCCCCATTTTACAGATGAGGAAGAAGGCCCCAAACCTTTCCACGATGTGCCCTGTGCCCTGTGGTTTGCTAATCGTGAATTTGGAATTTGAACATGGGTTCCCAAGTCTGGTGATCTATGCACTGAAAAGGCTTATATGCTAGACAGGAAAGAGAGAGAGAGAGAGAGAAATAGATCTATATGTTTACATATAAATGTATATAAATATATAGTGTATGCATGATACATACATATACCCACATACAGATATAAAAACTCAGGAGATAGTGGTTGAACCACAAAGGGAAAATAGTATGTGATTTGCTGTTAATTTTCTTCTAGTCAATTACTCTGTGCAGCTCAGCTGGTGATGGGCCTCAGGCCCTGTTCTCACTCAACACCAACTTTCGGTTGCCATTAAAAACAACAACAACCACCACCTCAATAAAACCAGGTCTTCTGGCTGTCCCTCTGGCTCTTCTCCAGCCCCGTGGTTTGCCAGCAGCATTCCAAGGAGCCTGGAGGCGCCTCAGGTGGTTAGGGCTGCTGAGCATGGGGAGGAGCGGGCAAGCTCAAGTTCCAGGCCACGGCTTCAGTCACAAAGCCAAACTCCACTTCCACTGCCATCAGCGAATCCTGATCCATAGATTCTGATTGCTCTATGGGACAGACTAGAACTGTCCCCCCTTTTGGTTTCTACGACTTTAAATCGGGAGCAGACAGCCAAGCTCACCTTATCTCTGCTTCATTTGTCAGACTTGTTAAAACACACACACACACACACACACACACACACACACACCCCTTCTCTTTAAATATTGAACTTGGTATGTGAAATAATCCCACTACGCCCTGTACTGTCTGGCCTTGCCTCTCCCTGTGAGCTGAAAAGAATGAGCAGAGCCATGGTCCTCAATCTATTTGGGTTGATAAAATGTCGAAGGAGTCAAAATTAGAAGCTTATTTTTTCAGGTGGGAGGGAAAGAAAAGAAAGGCCCATGAATATCGAATTTCAAATTCCAAACTGAGGGCACAGCCCACATTGTTCACTCATTTCCATCACGGATTCATTCAGTTGGTCCTCAAACATTTGTTGAGGGCCTATTATTTGCCCGGCCCCGTGTTGTAGTAGAATTAATTGTGTGGAAAATGAATATTTAAAATCAAATCATATTTTAAATGCATTAGATGAAATATCATACCACGATGTACGGTAGCAAACCTTTTCAGAGCTCCTGTTCACCTGCTTCTTAGTGGATCAAGTTTGGAATTGAAAGCTTTTTATCTTTCTCTTCCCCTGCCCCCTCCTTTATAGTAGGACTCATGTAAATGCTCCTAAAAATCATAACTCTAAAGACAAAAGGGATGGAAACAGAAACCGTCGAAGCTGCCAAAACAAAAGGGCGCTGGAGGCGGAAATGTACACCAGCCATTGGCTTTCAGGGACGTCTAGGGCAGGTCGGAAGCCTCAGAAGCCCCAGATGCCTCAGTGTCCTTTCTTTCTCCCTCGCAATGGCCTCTCGGAGGGCAGACGGAGGCCACAGAGGCAGGTAGGCCAACCTGTGTGGAGCATCCATCCTCCACTAGAGACAGTGCCTGCCACCTGCGATCCTCTGACTTGTCTAAATGTCACCATCTCTTGGCAGGGGAGGTTTTGTTTGCTCCTTTTCACAAATGAGGGAGGGCCATGTGGCTTAAAAGATATGAAGGCCACCGCCCAGAGCCACCAAGATAACAGGTGGCCGAGTTGTCATTCAGATCAAAGTCTCTATGACTCCCAAACTCGGCAGTTGGATGGTGATTGGACCAGGCAACGAGGGGACAGTTTCCTAAGAGTCTGCAGGGACTAGAGGTGACTAGTTTGCTTTGGGGCTGGGGCGGGCAATACTCCAATGGTGCTCAGTAATTCCAGTGAGGTGTGAGCACAGAAGCCTTGCAGACACTTGCCTCACCTAGGAACCAGGACTGTCATGGCCATTGTCACGTCTAGCCCTTGCAGTAGTGCCCTGAATACGGTTATATGATCACCGCCTTTTCACAGGGGGGAAAAAGAAATTCAGCAGGGTGAAGATTCTAATCTTCAAATATCCAGGTAAAAAGTGATGGTGCTTGGATTTAAACCCACTTCTGTCTGGCTCTGCTTTCCATGGCTATTCCCCACCTCCCCCTGCTTCATGGTGGCAGATGATATAGTGGTTATGCACTGGGCTGATGAACCACAAGGTTGGCAGTTTGAAACCACTAGCTGCTCCAAGAGAGAAAGATAGGCTTTCTACTCAAATAAAGAGTTACAGTCCCTGAAACCAGCAGAGGCACTTCTACCCTGTCCTACAGGGTCTCCAGGAGTCAGCGGCGACTCAGTGGCAGTGAGTTTGGTTTTTCATGGTTTTGGTTTGATAGTGGCAAGGAGTTCACACATCCGGCTGCTATCTCAAACAAATGAGAGGCTTGAGCTCACCCAGAGGGGCCTCAGAAGAAAGCTGCAGCAACTTTACTTCCGGAAATTCAATCACTGAAAACCTTAGGAAGCCCAGTTCTACTTTGACACCCATGAGGTTGCCAGGAGGCGGAATTCAACTGAGGGCAACTGGTCTGTGTTCAAGAAGGCAGAGGATTGAATGGGATAATGGGTATGACAAAGCTGGGCTTGGCGCTTAGAGAAACAGCCAGCTGAGAATCTAGAGCCCTGTGGATCAAAATCAGTAGTGGTGGTTTGAATGGGACACAGTATGTGTCTGGGGAAAAAGATGAACTTTAGGATGCGACCATGGACTTCTTCCCAGCCATGAGCACATCCCTGGAAACAGCCACCCTCACTAAGTGCAGCCTTTCCTCCTATGAGATAGTCTTGGAGAGAGGTCAGGTCTCACTGCGACTGGACCACGTGGTTATGCCGCCTCCTGCAGCTTTCTTGGTCCTTGGACTTGGTAATCCCGTGCCTCTCCACACAGCTGGTGTTTTGGAGTGGCCGGTAATCAGCCATCCCATCACTCTTCATGGAGCACCTACCATGTGGCAGGCCCAGTTCGAGGCAGTCAACAAAACACACACGGTCATACTGCCCTATGGAACTCAGATTCTTGTATGCAGATGTTTGCTTTTGTGTCTAGTACGTCCCAAATCATTAAGTGTTTCCACACCCACAACTTGACTTTCATATTAAGCACAAAACAGGGAGGGCAGTGTAGTTATCTACATTTATAGGTAAGGAAACAGGCCGAGGGAAAAAGCAGTAATTTGCCCAATTGTTCATGGCTCGTTGAGCCACGCTGAGCATTGATTCCAAAATTCTTCTTTTGTTTGACTTTTTTTTAAATGGTAGCTATGTAAATCTTTGAAATGATACAGCTAAAGTCAGCAGAGAAACACAAAGTGCATTTTTAAAGGTCGTTGTGCCACCTTAGAGTCTAGTGAGGATTCATATAGGTAAAGCTTATTGGAAAGATATTTTCATGACTCCTTTCCAGGTCACTTAATGTGTGAGAAAAAGGAGGTGGGTCTCAGCTCAAACTTGGTTTTTTTCTCAGTGGGCCAATGCTTTAGGTTCATTTTCCTGGACCTGTCTTCTGCTGCCCGGATTTCATTTCAGTGACCATCCCTGGAGAGAGGCAACCCCCCCCCCCTTCCTAGACCAGAGAACCAGAATGGAGCCCTGTGGTGGGCCATGGGCTTTCTTTCTCAAAGGGTCACTCCAAAGGGCCACCATTGGTGTTGTTGAAACACTCCAGCATTTTTGCTTCCCCTGGAACTCAGAAACTCTGGCTCCTGCACCTGTTTACCTATTTGTAAGCATGGAAGAGGAGAGATCTATGCAGAGCACAGGAAATCAAAGGCCGTTTAACAGCTTGCTGTTCAAGGACTCTCTTGGCCCTTGACCTGGAGGATAAGGTAAAGGGTTTCTCTGTCCTGTCCAGTGAAGGAAAACACTTGGGGATGGATGTTGGAAGATATTTGGGGAAGGGGTGGCTAAGTCTACACATCCTTGGTCCATGTGATTCTGAGAATATGTGTTGTAGGGCCACGAGAATATCATGCTCAGGTGTGGGATTGAGGAATCCCACAGAAGCCTACTTGAGCCATGGTCCATGGCATCATTGAGTAGCGTGGAGTAAAGCATTCTTCCAGCAGATGTGACAAGTCGGCTGATTGCAGCATGTGGAGCAGGGAACAAGGGCATTGAGGTAGCTACTTTGGAATGTGTGTGTGATGATAGAGTGATTCAAGGTGAGGGCAAACTCCCTTCCTCTCCAGGTAGTCCTGTGATACCTTTGTGCAATGAGCTGGGGGCCTGCCTCTCTTGTTAAGATGGAAAGGTCCGAGCAGGGACCATGTCTGCCTTCCCCACTTCTTTTTCTCCTGGTTGTAGGAGGCTTTGAGGGGAAGTGCTAAACAGACATGTCAGTGAGTCATGAAATGTAGGGACTGAGGCCCATGGTCATTCACCAAGGAACAGGGGGTAGGTTGGGTCCAGTCTGGATGAGAGGGTAGGCCTCATGGTGCAGGGTTCTGTCCTCCATGCTCAGCCCCATCTGGTCAACCTCCCTTCCCCGGGCCACCCTCACCTCGGCAGACCGGCCTGTGGTCACTCCAGGCTGCAAACATGTCGCTCACTTTCATACAGGTGATCCTCTTGGACCCTTGCAGATCATAGCCCTCGTTGCAGGTGAACTGGACGCTGGACCCTAACCTGGGAGACAAGGCAGGCTGGTGAGCATAACCCCTGGGCTTTGCCAAAGCCCTCGTGCTGAGTCCCTTCTGGCACCGTAAAGAAGTACCCCCTTGACCTTCATTTCTTCTGCCCCTTAAACTCTGCCCCACTGTTTGAGCACGTACAACCTTCACCCGAAACATCTGCTCTTCATCTTCCTTTTTTGGACAACTGACTGCTTTTAGGATTGAGTTAAATGGTGACTGTGAGCAAAACAGGAGTCCTCTGAGAGAAGTGTCAATTAGGGCAGCTCAGAGTGGGTGGATGATGCCCATACACTTTAATGAAAATGGAGGATTGTGGGAGGATGGCTTGCAAGGCAGAAACTCTGTGACATGCACCATCTCAGGGCCCTAGGGTCCCCTAGATTACCAGAGATGGGGCATGCCTGGTGTTGCAGAATCGAGAGGGCAGCCCTGTGTAGAATGCGTCTGCCAGGCAACACAGGCAGCAGACGGACGCTCTCCTGAAGGCAGAGGCACTGGACGCTCTCCTGAAGGCAGATGCACTGCCCCCGGGGTTGGGCTAGCGAAGGATGCCAAAGGCCATGGTTGACATTCTTGATGCCACTTTCAGGACGGCCAGGCTCTGCCTTCTCCCAGCTGGGCCACCCCCACCCTTCATGCAATCAGAAGGGTTCCAAAGCGATCTTACCTGAAATCCGAGCCTAGTCTTTTGCCCCTTTCGGGTATGCCAGGGTCTGGACACATATTATGCCCTTGGGACACACCGACCTGAGTTACTACAAGGCAAGAAAACAGCACATACAGAGATGGAGAGTCACAGGTTGGCACCAGCCAGGGCCGCGTCACAGGGCGGGAGTGGACCTGGAGACAGAAGCTGGGCCTGCTCCATGGGGCTGGGGGGGCGGTTGGGCTGGGGTTTCCTGAGTGCGCAACTTGGGGCCGCTTTTGACAACGTTCTCGGCAAGCCAATTCCAAGTGAAATTCACCGAGAGCACGTGGACTGAGAGGCAGGTTCCCCACACCCCCAAACTACCCAGTGCCCTTGAGCCCCCACCAGCCCCCTGCCCAACCTCCCAGTGGTCTCCCCACCCTACGCTTCAGATCTGGAGATGGTGACTCGAGATGAGGTGAGCCCCACCCCACAACCTTCCGCCCCAATGGAGACATGACTCAAAGAAAGTTAAACAAAAGGTGACGTGTGATCAGAAACGGTAAAGAATGCAAGAGGAAGCTGCAGTCTGAGGTGCAAGGCTGGAGAATTCACACACGCATGGACATTGCTGAGAAACCTCTTCCCAGGAGAGGTTTCTCAAACCGAGTCTACAGTAACCGGTGCACTGCCCGCCTGATGCTCCTGGCCGAAGGAGGTCGGGCAGCGGAGGTGCCTTGGGCAGGTGAGGCACAACTGTGGACACCTGGCAACACCAGAGTCCCGTTTACCAAACCCACAGTCATCTTTGCTAAAGGAGACGCTTCATCAGGGGGCTGCAGAGGCAGATACTTTTCTCTCGTCCGCAGGCCCCAAGGGGAGGCTGCCCACCCACGCCTGTTCATTGTTCATGGGAGGCTCACTGCTGGGGCCAGACCCCACGCACACCTTTGAATTCTTGGCTTTTGGGGTGAGCAGAGGCCGGGAATGAGAAGACATCTTGGTAAGAAAAGTTCTGCCAGTCTCAGGATCCCAACAGCAAGCGCCGGGCAAAGGAAGAAAGCTGATGCCGAGCAATGCTTGCCTGAGTTTGTCCCTTTAGCTCCCAATTCAATGTCCCGAGATACAAGGCAATACTCCACCACCCACTCCTAAGTACGCAGCAATGATGAACCGAGCCCCTACGGTGTACAAGGCCCTGTGACCACACAGGTCAAAGGCAATTAGATATGGCCACTGTCCTCAGGTTGCTCCTCCCAGGTGACCGTGATGGGGTGTGTGTGTGTGTGTGTGTGTGTGTCAAATGAATGATGTAACCACAGGTCTGTCCAGAGGAAGAGCAGGTCTTGAATACCTGGGAAGAGGACATGGAATGTGGCCCTTGGAAAACACTAGGATTTGGATCCATGGAAATCAGAAAGAAGCGATTAATGCAGGGAAGCAGTTTGAGCGGGGGTGTCCTGGGAAATATGGTCACAGAACTTGGGGTTTTTGTGCTCTGTGGTAGAAGAGGAGGGAGGGGGTTGCGTGACAGGGAAGAGGGGGAGGTGAGGTCTCAGAGGTGCGACACCTCAGGGGTTCAAGTCTGACCCTGAAGACACTCAGGACACTGGGGGACACTCGGAAGACACTGGGGAGTTCTGAGCAGGAGAGTGATTTGGTAAGATCTGGAGGGCTAAGAAGAGACAAGTTAGGAAGGTTTGTGATGGTCCAGGTAAAGGCGAAGAGTCTGGTAGTGGGGACAGACGTCGTCAGCATGGTAAAGAGAGAATCACAGGGTTCATGGAAGATGGGCATTAAGGAGAGGAAAGAGGGATTTCTTGGGCCCGAGCACTAGGAGGATGCAGGCAAAATGGGGAGCTCCATTTGAGACTCGCTGAGTCCGAAGCTCACTGCTGGGTGCAGACCGTGTTCAATCTCAAGGTAGCGCAGGGCAGGGCTGATCAAGGGAACCTTAGGGATTTGGACGGACCACACACCCCAGGCAGACGCCAGGTGACCTCTTGGTTGTCTAGCCATGAGCTGGAGGCCTCCTCTTGGACAGCCCCCCTTTCCCTAACCTTCCAATCTGTCAGGTTATAGCTACTCATACCATTGGACACTTGTCCCCTACCCCCATGCCATTCTTCGCCAAACCTCTACCATGAAGGAAAGTACACCTAGTTAACAAAGCCACTGTTCCCATCTGTCCAAAGCCCATCCCACCCAGGAAGTAAGATGGAAGTGCTGTCCCAAAGCAGAGCAAGCTCACATTCTGCCTCCTTGTAGCCTTCGTGTTTTGCAAAGAATGGGAAGGGAGTCCTCCCAGGGAGGACCTGAGTCTTCGGGAATATGGAGGGCTGGGTAGGAGGAGAGCGGAGGCTCCCCTCTCAGGAGGTAAGGATGACAGACAGCCCTGAGCTGTCCTTCCTGGGCTGTGGGTTGGTGGCTGCTAAGCCAATGCTGCTTACATTTCCACGGTGATCCACTCCACTGCCGGCTTCAAAGCTAAGCTCGACCCCTCTTTAGGTCTCGCTGATTCAAACCTGCGCGGTACCACACCCATCCCAACAAGTCTGGCGACCACCCCACGGGAACCAGACAGCCTCTGGGAACACATTGAGAATCCAGAGCAAGCCCTTGGCAACCTTCCTTGGCCTGAACAAAAGGTTCGGTGTTACCACCACCCAGTAAGCAGATAGACTAAATGGCTGACGGATGAGGCTAGGCTGGGCTAGAATGGGGGGACCATGGCAAAGCCCACCCACTGAGCACAGCCCGACCCTCAGAACGGTCCCTGCTGCCTCCCTGTCATCAGCCAGACCACAATGGGACTCCGCCAGCATGCAGTGAGTTACCAACTCTGACGGTGACGCAGCTCACACCCTTAGTGCCCCATTCCCTGTGGATGTCTGAGCAGGTGACGAATGATATTCCTCCCCCACCCCTACCCCCCATGCATGTCCTGTGGGCCATCAAAGGCTCCCTAGGAAATGGGCAAATGTAAACCTCATTGAATAATTTATTGTATAAATTACAGCTGCAAGAGGTTTTCCCCTTCCCTCCCTGCATGCCAGCCTTCACTTCTAATTCAAAACCAGCTGCTTGTGCGTACAGCATTCAGATGGCGTTGGCTGGAGAGAGAGGAGAAGGGAGAGGGCAAACCTTACCCAGTCCCATCAGAGCCCCTGTGGTGAAGGAGGGGCCCACACCTGTTCAGAAGGGCAATCACTTCAACCCAAAGGCACAGGCACGCAAAGCTTGAGACACCTGTCCACCGGACACTTGGCCAGAATGCTAAAGGTGAGACACCTGCAGACACGTGGCCCACCTGCCTCTGAGCCTCTAGAAGAGCACACGCATTGCTCCCCGGGGAATGTTCCACACAGAAGCCCAGCGCCTCGTTGGTAGAGAACAGCTGTTTTCCCAGAGGGTTCTCGATCAGTTCCTTAGGATCAGGTCTCTTCATCTTTTGGGGAGTGGGGAGGCTGGGGCCTGTTTTGGACATCTCTGAGTAACTCATGAAAACCCTGGTCCCCCTCTCCAGAAAAATGCACCCACACTTCACATGTCACAGGGACCCCCTGAAGTCCCAGGCCAACAATGTCCACATGAGAGCCCACAGCTCCCCTAGAAGGAAGGTAGGGGGGCGGTTATCATCCACAGGTGTAGGAGCAATGGGGAGAAATTGCTGAGGACACAATTGGGATAAAACCCCAGCCTCCCACCATTGGGCTATCTCCTCCACATCGGCTACGGTGCCAGGGCAACTCGGAACCAAAGCCATGTCTGCCGGGGTTCGTCTGCTCTCTGGACCATGGACAGAAGGGATCGAGGAAACCCAGGCCACCGACCATGACAGCCTTCCTTCAGAATCCTGACCTCACGCTCAGTTCTGGCTTCCTGCTCCGTTGCCCAGTGCAGCCCAGAAGCAGGGCCTCCTGGTTGCCCTTCAGCCATCCGGCCCCCGCAGGAGGGCATGAGAGCCCCATGGGTCCCAGCTACTCCCCACTGCCAGTGGGTGCCCCGTCTCTAGTGGGAGTCACGAGAGACCAGCGGCAAGTCCCCACCCACGTCCAGTCTCAGTCGGGGCTCTGGACACCAAACTACTTCCTCGCCAACCCAAGTCTCTTCACACACATCTGCCCAGAGCTCTGGGACCATGGCGGCTGCTCTCCGCCTCTGCTCCGTGGGGTTCTGACATTGCAGGGGGAGAGCAAACGAGGGAGGGGCAGGGAGCAAGTCAGTAACAGCGAGAGGAAGGAGGAGGCTGAAGCAGTGAGGGGCTGAGGGTGAAGGGAAGGGTGGGGAGAAGAGAGCCAGAAGAACGGGTGGGGAGAAAAGAGGGTGGGGAGAGAAAGAGGAGAGAGAGAGAAGGGTAGAGGAACAGAAGGGCAAGGGGAGGCCAGTCATTTTGGGGACCAAAGAAGGTTCCCTACACATCCACTCCTGAATGGAAGCAAAGGTTGTCTTCATGAAAACTGGCTTTGCTTCCGGATACAGCCCTCTGTCTGGGGAGGCCCAGAACCTTCCCAAGCCCCTGCCTGTGCTCACAGGTCCTCCGTACAGGCTACCCCAGGTACTTCTGAGGTGCCATCCCCGACTCTTCCTGCACACTAAGCCCCTTTCAGTCTTCCAAACTCTGGCTGCAGAATGCGTTCCCACAGATGCAAGTGTCCCCCTGACCAAGCTGGGAGCGCCCAGCACTGTCCCATCACCACGGTAGGCCTCTCCGCCTTGCCCGGCCAGGTTCAGGGAGTCTGGAGGAAATGGCTAGGCCCCAGAGGGATGATACCCTCCCTGCACTTCCCAGTCAGGCCTTGGGGGCTGCAGCCGCCCCTAGATCGCAGCCCCCACCCCCATCACAGCCTGAGGGTACTGGCACCTGGAAGAGATGCCGACTGTCCGAGCAAGTGAAAGTGATTCAAAAGGAAAAATAAAGAGAGAAATGTAGAGTGATGGCGCCCTGGACTGCAGTTAGGATGGGACATGAAGGAGAGGAGGAGCGAGGGGCATGGGAGGAGGCGGCGGGATGGACAGGTCCCAGAGCAGCGCATGGCGCCAGCCAGCATGTCCATGCGCAGAGCCCGGGATGGAGGGCAGCGGGCGGAAGGGCAATCGTCACAGCGACGTCTGGCCTCCCCGTGGCCACAGCGCCAGCGGGGCTGGCCTCGAGCGAGAAGCCCGGCAGGCAGGCAGGCGGGCAGACACTTACGCACAGACGTCTTCTGGTTGTTATCCTTGCTGGGCATGAGCTTCACTCCTCGGGATTTCAACTCGATTTGCTTCTTGACTAGAGAAGAGGTAAGAGGGAAAAGGTTTAACGTCTTGTGTGTGACCAGGGGCTGGGACCCCCTCTCTTGGTTTGGGACACTCCATGGAGCTCCCCTGGCCAGCGACATGCCAAGGGTAGAGTCCACATACTTCCAGCAGGGTGTCAGACATGGACGACTACTGTCAGGCTGGCCCACTGGGGTAGGCTGATTGGCTGGCCTCCCATTGGGTTTCTCTGAGAGGATCTGGGACACCTCCCGACCCCCCCAAGTGGCCTCTGATGTCTGTACGTCACTACAAATACTGAATCCATGTTCCCCTCAGCAAACATCTCGAGTATCAGCTCTGATCCCTGCAGGGCCCCCTGGAAACTAGTTGCATATGAGTTGGTTCAGATTTAACTTGACAGCAATTGGATGCGTGTCGGAGTAGAACTGGACCTGTATGCTGTCCACAGGCTGTGCTTCTCAGAAGTAGATCACCCCACCTTTCTGCTGAGTCACCTCTGGGTGCACACCAACCTCTAACCCCTCCGTTAACCATGGGGCACCTTCATGGAAGCCCCTGTGGCTCAGCCAACTCAACCGCATTCAATGCCATCCAGTCGATGCTGACTCATAATGACCCCTGTGTGTTTCTGAGACTGGAATGCTTTCCAGGAATCGAAAGTCTCATCTTTCTTTTTTGGAGCTAGCTGGGGGTTTTGAACTGCTGACCTTGAGTTTAGCAGCCCAACGTGTAGCCCAGCTCAATTCCTAAAATAGTCTTGGCCAGCAGTAGTAGATTGGATTTGGCCTCTGCTTTCACCCCTCCTTGTATCTTCGCAGCCCCTTCCATTAAAGGGATGGAGTGTATTGTCTCATGCCTTGGCTCTGACTTTGGCCACAGTGCTTGCATGGACCATTGGTTGTCTGTAGAGCTCCACAGGTCCCAAGGTGGAACATGCAGCTGCAGGTAGGCCTGCTTTCTTGCATCTCTGCTCTCGTTTGTAAGAAGGCATGGCTCTTCTCAGAAAAATGAGACATAATACTGCAGAGCCAGTTGGCCTCCCTGAGCCCACCCTATAGCCACACCTTAAGCAGACATGTGCACAGGCCATGCCAACCGATCTTCACCAAACTGGCACGTGGCTAAGTCTGGGGTGGTTTTCCTGCGGCACTTGTGTGGCAGTTGTTCCATGATAAGGCTGGGCTCATCAGAGCTCTCGCCTTCGCTAGTGGACGAGGTCTGGCATAATGATTGAATTCTCCATATGCGAGATGCCTTCCAGGAGCTCCCCAGATGGTCAGCACACCACGCTCAGCTTGTCCTGTGCCTTCCCTGGTAGCTGCTAGGCACTATCCCAACGAGGATGTTCTTTTCAACCCCCACTCAATGTTGAGCATCGCCGCTGCCTGGAGACGCCTACTGTCTCACTTGCTACAGGAGCACAGCCCAGGCCCCACCAGATCTCCCAGCATCCACCACCCATGGGTGCTGCCATGCTATGTCAGAGTGCCGAGGCAGTGCCCCAGTCCTGTGACGGCAGCTCTCAGTCTGGCAGGGGAAATGAGACGCACACTCCGAAAATAGAGCCGTGCAGACTACAAGGGGACAAAGAAGGATCTGAGGAGTGGGCGGGCGGGAGGGAGGACTGGCCTTTATTGCCACACGCTTTACTCTGCACTGCGTTGAGTTCTTTAATCAGTAAATATACACCGACGAGGTAGCTATTATTCGCCTATTGTGCAGATGAGAAAAGGGAGTGTCAAAGAAGCTGAATCACTTGCTCAGGGTCATACGGCTAAGAGCGATAGAACCAGCAGCCGGGAGTGCGCACCTCAACGTACCAAGCTCTTTCCAGGCCCCCATCACGCAGAGGTGCTGCCTCAGCCACCTCTCCCTGGAATCCAGACGTCTAGCCGGCTGCCTCCTGTGTATCACATTTGGGTGTGTTAATAGACACCTTAAAATGAGCAAGTCCGAGAGATGCCTGAAGCAGCCTCCCAGTCACCCCTTAAGCTGTTTACTGGTTCCAACATGATCCGATAGCATGTATTTGCTGTCTGGTGTATTGTCTTTCTTTCTAGGGGTGCAGGGGCCCCAGTTGTCCTGTTCATGGCTGTAGCCCCAGCACCCAGGTGGGCACCGTGGTTGCTCATTGCCTGGGAGCTGGTGCCGACTCATCGGGGCCTCAGGTAGATGGGAACGACAAGCTGCCTGCTCCTGTGGGGTCGTCGGGATCTGCGGTATGTCGGCGTCCGTTGTCTTCACTGCGGGGTCCAAGCGTCTCCTTGAGGTCTCCCTGGTTGCATTTTGAGTGCCTTCCCACCCGAGGGTGACAACATTCTCCTGCTACCACTGTGGTCTTCAAGTTGATCTCCAGGCTTTTCTCCCTGGTCTCTCAGTCTGCACGCTCTACTGAAACCTGGCCACCTCTGTGACCCTGACGCGGGGTGGTGGGAGCTACTCGCTTCTCGTTCCTTAGAAAGACGCAAACTGCCACGGCGAGTCAGGGCACAGTGTACAGACAGGGTAGTGCCCATTAAGTATTTACCTAAAGAAGGAACTGTGGAGACCACTACAAGCTTAATCAAGATAGTAAAGCCAGGCTGCATAATGCTAATCTGCAGGCTTTGTGGAGGAGAGGTGAGTCTTCCATGTGTATATGTGTACAGGAAGCCCGTGAATGAATGTGCCCAGGCTGAGCCTGTGACCAGCAAGGGACGCTGAGTCCCTGGGGCTGTTGGAGGCTGGCGCTTGGTTTAGGTGGAGAGTCTTTGGGGCTGACCCTCTTTAGTGCATCAGGCCTCTACCAACAGTACAGGAAGAGCATCGGAACCAGAATTGCATAATCCCCAAGGTCATTTCTCTGTACCTATCAACCCCCTTAGTGTCGAAGACCCCTAAACCAGCTGCTGGTGAGTCAATTCCAGCCCACGGTGGCCACATGAGTGACAAAGTGTAACTGTGCTCCATAGGGTCTCCAGTAGCTGGTTTGGGGGAAGTCGATTATTAGGGCTTTCTCTAGATCAGCAGTTCTCAACCTGTGGGTCACGACCCATTTGGGGGTCAAACGACCTTTTCACAGGGGTTACCTGATTCATAACAGTAGCAAAATGACAGTGATGACGTAGCAATGAAAATAATGTTATGGTTGGGGGTCCCTACCACCTGAGGAGCTGTATGAAAGGGGCGCGGCCTGAGGAAGGTGGAGACCCCTGTTCTAGATGGACTTGATTCGCTGACTTTTTGGTTAGCAGCCAAGCATGCTTACTGCTTGAACCACTCAGGGGCACCTCCATGGTGTCTAACTACCCCTCGGCTCCCCAAGGCATCTTTCGGCCTCCAAGGGCTTCATCTTACCTCTGGTTATGAGCCTGGGCACACCTGTCTGACCCCAGCTCCCCCATAATATCGTCCAGGTAACCCCCTTCCTGCTGACTCACCCCTGCTTAGACTGATGCCCAGCGGTAGTAACAATCACAAGTTCAACTTCCTCTGTGTCAGGCCCAAGGCTAAGTGCCTTACAAGTTCTCTACTAAAATCAGCATCCTTGACTCCTCGCTTCCACCCACGCAGGATCCATCGCCAAGTCCTTCCAAATATATCCCCAATCCAGTCATTGCTCATAACCTCCAGGCCTGTCACCCTGATCCAAGCCTCTGTCACCTCTCTCCCCTTGTTTCCTGGGTCTCCATCTCCCACCTCTTCCCCCATACAGCATATTCTTAACACAGGAGCCAGAAGGACCCTGTTACAACAGAAGTCAGCCCTTACTATGTCAGGGCTCAAAACTCTGCAGCAAGAACCCGTGTCTCCTGGAGTAAAAGCAGGGCATGTTCTACCAGGAACCCCACCTTCTGCCCTCCCATGGCCTCTGTGGACCTTTATCACTCTCTGTGGCTCATAGGCCTCCCTAAAGCTCTTCAGTATTTGCGGCTGGTTCCTGCATCAGGCTGATCCGATTGTTCTCCGGTTTCCTTCGAGTAGGCATGCAAATTCCACTGAGACTGGAGGCCTTCTCAGACCACATCATGGAAAACAGAATCGCCAGCCCCAGCTCTGCCACACCGCTCCCCCACTTTATCTTGCCAGCTTTCTAACACACCAGAGCGCTTACTGTGTGACTTTGCCTATTGTTGTTTCAGGTTGAAATGTAAGCGCCACGACGGCTGGGATTATGTGTGTTTTGTTTCCTGCTGCACCTTCAGTTCTTCTGGGCCCAAAGGGCTTTGGGTGGCTGGTTTGGGGGAAGTAGATTGCCGGGTCTTTCTTCCAAGATGTCTCTGGGTGGACTCAAATCTCCACTTTGTTAGCTAGCAGACAAATGTGTTCCCTGTTGGCACCACCAGGGTCTACGATCTTACCTGGTTGGTGCTCAAAAACCAAACTCAGAGCCCTTGGGTCCATTGTGACTGGCAGTGAGCCTATAGGTCAGGCTAGAACTGCCACTGTGGGTTCCCAAGATTTCAACTCATCATGGGAGTCGATTGCCTTGTTTTACTCTTGCAGAGCGGCTGACTCCCAGGAATGGATGCATGAGTGGATGGGGTGGATGAATGCATGGATAGATGGCTGAATGGATAGGTGGATGGGTGAGTGGATGGATAGATGGATGAATGAATAGATGGGTTGGTGACTTTGTGGTTAGCAGCCCAGTGCATAACATAACCAAAATTTAACCAGGATTTGGGGTCGGGGGGTGGGGGTGGGGGTGGGGACCTTAAATTTGTTTACATGACTTGCTATAGGTTATGCACAAAAAGCAGCTGTGGCCTCAGCTGAACCCCAAGTTTCTTGTGAACAGCCCCAAAGGGATCCCAGGAACGAGTCACATCCCCAGGGTCTTCCATGTACCTCCAGGTCAGGCCCTGGAAACACTTACTCTGTACAGGAGATAACATGCCATTCCCCAAGCCTAAACACACAGCAGTTCAAGGGAGGGGTCTTCCTGTCCCCTCTCCACCTACATGAACAAGCTCCCCAAGGGTCTGTTCCCCGCCAAAGCTGAATGCCTGATAAAATCCAGTTACATCC